TTCTTTCTCTTTCCTTCTCTTTCCTTCTTTCTTTCTTTCTTTCCTTCTCTTTCTTTCTTCCTTTGTGGCCTTTTGTGGCAGGCTTAGTCCACCCTGAGGGCGTCGCTGACGTGGCATGTGCCGCCAGGGATTGAACCTTGGTCCGTGCACACTTGCCTAAGCAGGTGCTTTAGAATGCTGAGCTATTTCGCTGGCCCCTGAGCTATCTTGCCAGCCCAACGTTTTCTAGAGTTGATAAACCATTAACAACAGATGATGATTTTTTCCCTTCTAGGGCTGGTAAAATAACAGAAACGTGAGACTTTCTGTTCTGTCCTCACTCTCTCTGTGACAGCTCATCCAACAGCATGGGGAAGCAGGCTGACTGGGGCAGCACGTGGACGCTGCGTGAGCGCTCTCTGTGTTTACATCCGAGGGTCAGCCAGACCCAACCTTGAAATCAGGGAGAAGGAAAGTCAAAGAATATGGGACGTGCTCTGAAGAAATCCATATGAAATATATTTGTACGTAAGAATGAAAACACTTTCTGAAATGCCACATTGCCACTAGGGTTCAAAGTGAGGTTCTTCCTTTGCCTCAAACTCAAAAATAAGCAATAAGGAACTACAAGTATCTGTAATTTTTGTCTCAAAATCTTCACACAGGTGAGTCACATGTTTAACAAAGAATCAAGCCAGAAGCCAGAGAGGGAACAACACCTTGAAGCTCCATCCGATGACATTGTATCTTAAGCATTTGTACTAAACAGAAATATTTATACAATTTCAATAAAACATTTTCTATCAAATCATATTTGAAGTTTATTGGACTAGCCATGCTCATACCCACTTCACAGTAACTGCTGCCCCTGCTGCTTCCGACCACTGAAGCACAGGAATGTGGGTGTGCAGGGCTGGACTCGACCCCAGGGAAGTCAGGGTCAGGGTCAGCCACGCTATTGTGCCAGGGAAGTCCTGATCTCTGTCTTCCTGCCACGGAAAAGAAGGCCAGCCAGCAACGGAGCATTAGTGCCTTATTAGAAAATGTTTAAAAGTACCCTTGAGCACATCCTTGTAGGATGGCTTGTAAATAAAGCTAGAAATGCATCAACAGAAGGTCTATATGCATCTCTAAATTGCATCTAAAACTTAGTGTAAACTTTGAGTTATACATTCCCCAGAGTGTTGTTTCTTTGGATTTTTCCAGAAAGTTCCATTTACAGTCACATGGGCACATGTGC